GACATATCGGTCATCCTGGGATGCCTCATTCACTACATGCTGCAGAAGACAGCAATTATTTTCGCACTACCATACACTCACAATACTCGCCTAACACGAATTTGCTACGAGCGTATGAATATTTTACGAGCTAGATAGGTGACAAAATACCTGCGCCAGAAACTGGAAGGAATAAATTTCTGGGCATGCAAGCTGATATCTCTATTGGGAGAAAGACCCAGTACAACTAGATGTGACGTTACTTTTTGTAGCAGCCACGCTGAACACCCATCTGTATTTTTTTTGTTTTCAGTGTGTGAGCAACTCGCTGCACCTTGATTAGATTTGTGGTGATTATGCTGATAAGAAGTAGAACGGTAGCTTGCTGGATTGTTGTGACTTTAAATTTCTGTAAACCACATCAGTCGTGTTGTGAGGCACTTCAAGCTGTTTTCAGCGAAGCCGCAAACTGACTGAAGCTCATTGGATGCACTGCGACTTTCAGTAGTCGTGGAAACATCTAATTTATGGAGTAAAAATGGTCTTGGTGTTCTTACTCATCAATTTAGATGTTTCCCATGAGGAGGATATTACTCGTGTTGTTAACCAAAATATTACTAAACTTTGTGGCTTAATGAGCGCACCAGTTACGATACGTAACGGTACATACCGTATGATGATGGAGCACTAATTATCCTTCAGATTTAGACCAAGATCGAAAGTATCATGGTAAAGATGCATTATTAATTGAGTACAATGAGCGTTAAATTTGTGGATGAGAGGGGCAGATCTTCTACCTGTTGGACACGTGGGCTATTATGCAGCGCGCAGGAAATATTACTGTAGATGGACATACAGAGGCTCTCGCTAAAGCAGAGAGTCAAATTGCGAGGTGCACAGTGAACTTGTCGCACTCGATTGCACTTGTTGTCGATTCGACGACCAAGTTTGAGTGTCAAAGTAATCATTTTCCTAAGTCCATCTTAGCTGCCTAGTGCGGACTTATGGTTTTTGTCTTCTGGCAACTCCATCTTCTTAATATATTCAAGGCGTTGAGTTTCGCTAAAACGTTACCCTTCGTCCAAACGGCGCGAAGATTTGCTGATGTTGAACTAAATAGGTGGCCCGATACGCTGCCTCTGCGCAAAGTGCTGGAAATGTCAGATAGGAAGGAAGGACCTGGTGGTTTGAAGGTAAGTTTCTAAGTAAATTTATTATGCTTATAGTTAGCTAATTATGCAAATCGTTGGGAGTTTCATAACTCCTCCTGGTTTACTTGGGTACGACTTAACTTGTTTCCAACACTCATCCCTCGGTGTGCTGTACATCGTCCACGAGACCACAAAACGCGCGGATTTCCCCAAGTTTAGTCGCCGACAAAGCCTTTGTCATCAAATCGGCCTTCATTTATTCACTCTGTACGTATTTCACCTCCAACATTCCGTTTCTGATGCGTTCTTGTACAAATTTGTAGCGTATATCGACATGCTTGAGTTTAGCTGTCGAACTTTCGCCTTTCAATTGCACTATAGCCGCTTGGTTATCGACAAAGAGTAACCAGGTATGGATCCCTCGAATGCCAACTTCATCCAACATATTGTAAAGTCCATGTAATTCGGTTGTTACGACAGA